GCTTCGGTTCTTCTTCTGTTATTATTGGATGCAATGACTCATTTTTGTAACCTTTTGTTTTGTTGTTTAGAGTTTTTGCTGGCTTCACAAAGCTGAAGCAGACATTCGAAGAATGAATGAATGATGGTCTTGTTAGTGAGACTGAGCAGCACCCATGGCTGTTATTTTAAAAAATTTCCCCCTTTTAGTTTGTTATTATAATGTTCATTATTATTATTTCAGTTTTTTTTTTGTTTTTACGTACTTCTTTGTTTGTTCGGTGGTTTTACTTCACTTGTTTTGTTTGGAATTTTTTATTTTTATTCTTACTTACTTTACAGTAGGACATCCACAAAGCGAATTTAAACACGTCCGTACTCTTCGAAAGCTCCTTGACAAGTTCAAATTTTCTATAAATTTACTAATCGGACCCGCTCTGTTCGGGTTAAAACTAATATACCTATGATCAGAGAAGGAATTTTTAGTAAGAAGATTAGACATCCCTTCCCGCAGTTACAAAAGTGGGGGTATTTCACCTTCATCTTTTAAACGTTTCTCTAGAATTGTGAGCTCCGCACCACTCCCTCCCGATTCGCTGCTCCAGTCGTGAGTTGGGAGAGATAAGTTGTAGTATCACAATATTTCCTCAATTTTTTCAATACTGCTTCTTCTACGGGGAGATCGTCCGTTCGTCAGCATACCTGACCAGCTTGTACCCGAGTGGCAGTTCCCATAAACTCACCTATTTTTTTTGTAATTTTTATAATACAATTTCGGTCGGGCCAAAATTAGTATTACTCATCAATAGTTATTAGTAATAGAAGTAAAAACATTAAGAATAAAGCAAGTAATACGTAGTTTCAAGAGAGTTATAATTATTTTACTGTTTTTGACCTGGCAATTCATATAAACATGGGTACAAAGACTAAAAAATTGTTAAAGAAATAAATTGCGACTTAACTCCCAACTTCTAGTTAGTAATCTGTTCACTTTCCGTTGCGTTTTACAACTTGAACTAATCTTTTCGGCATTGAAGCCATTCGTTTTTTAAAGTTTGTAGCGGTATTGCAGCCCAAACTTCTTTAATCTCGACTTTTAGGTGTTTGACTGTGTTAAGTTCTTAAGCACAAACTTCTCTTGATAGAATACTCCAGAGATTTTCAATAGGGTTTAAGTCTGGGCTACAAACGAGCCAGTCGGGAATTTGGATTTTTTTTAGTCTCATAAACTTCTTTGTTTCTCTGGAACAATAAATGATGGCATTATCTTGCTAAAAAATTAAGTCAAGGCCGCATAACTCTTCTCATTCACATTCCCACGTTCATGTATATCTCAAAACAAAAACACTTACATATGTAACAGTTCACAGATAATTTTTTACCACAGAAATCAAAGTAATTATCATTACTATCTTTGGTTCACATTGAACAGTTTTTAATATTTTACAAAATAATAGTTCAAAGTTTTGAGGACGTGCAACGAAAGAACAAGAGAAAAACAAAAGAAAAACTATCCTCATGGAAGAATTAAACTTTTTTACTGTGAAGCTTGCTCCAGCTGGTCTATCGGCCGTTTCCGCGACGGCGGTTGAACTGGTAGGTAATGGTACCTAGAGCGAGCGAACCGACTGGCACGTGGTCGACGCACCTGTCTATTACCTGAAATATATTTTGAACTACTTCGAAATCGAAGCTTATATTTTACCGATAGTTTTGAAAGAGAAATAGATTTTATTCGATTTAAATGATCCGACCCCCTTAACTACCTTTATGACCGCGACTATAGTCGCCATGCGACTGTCCGACTCCGTCCGGGACGGAAACAGCCTCGGCAATAACGCACCAGCCATTTCTGCAGGGTGTCACCTCCAAGTAGTCTGGTGAAGGAATATCTAGACCACCAAGCAAGAGCTCAACTAAATGTAAAAACTTCAGTTCTTAACATAGTCCATGTATAATCCGATTTCAAATGTCAATTATTAGGTTCACCTGTATGTTTGTAACTTTTTTTAGAGCCACTGAAACTGAAAAAGAATCAACAGTTTGATAGGCACTGCAACTATGCAGCTAAAAGCTTCAACTATCCTTCCATCCTGCAAAAAAATGGCGATAAAACTATGTACTTATGTAGCTAAAAGCATCAACTTCCATTCTGTTGTTCGGTGTGTAGTGCGAGAAAAAATTAAATTTTTTTTTCCACCAACAAAAAAAATATACGTTCACGTTATTAATTCAATTATATTAATTAACTTTATAAATATATGTATGTATATAACCAAACAATTATTACTTGTAGATATTCTTCAGGCGTATTTGCTAAAAGTATAAAAGTATAATATAGTATGAATATAATGTAAATATATTATACATTTGTATGCTATGTGCATAGCAAAACAAAAATAGGATTAATTTTTTTAAATTAAGATATCTTTAGAGCATTCAAAACAATCTTTTGCCGATCAAATGTTATGAGAGTGTTCAAAAATCGAACAAATCTTCAAGTATTATCTTGGAAAATGAATTGCATGAAATTTTTACTTCGTTTTAATATATATATTCACTTTAAGATTTTGAAGATATTTTTCAAAAAAACTCTTCATTTTGAAAATAAATCTTCACAGTGGGCAAAACTGAACTTGTCCCAGCGTTTTAGTGTTACCAGATTCTACAATATAACTTGAAGAACAGTCGGGAAAATATTTAGTAACACTGCGAATGAATATGATTATGGCGATAATAAAAAACCATGTACATTTATTGAACAAAGAAAATTTCCTAAAGCATGGTATTCAAAATGGACCATTTCACAAATTAATATTGGGATTGGAGCCACTCAAGATTAATTTTTATAAAGATACTTGTTATTTTCTCCTTTTTTTAAGACGAATATATTCGTGAGAAATATAATTAGAGGCCGAACGGGGCCTCTAATTATATTTATCCAAACTTGCGGAGTGTTAAAAAATACGACCGACTTTTGCTCATTCTAAACCAAGGTTAGTTATTCACAAATGATTACCATATATTTACGTCTTATAATTATGTTAATCTTATTGAGTCTATAACAGTTTTGATGCGGTTTGCCAAGGTAAGGCGTAACTTGATTATTATTCCATTGCTCCAATACTCCGAACACCCGTTTGAAAACTGCTTACCAGACTCGTCTTTTTCAGTATGCATATGTCATTCATTTGAAGTGTAAACAACAGAATTTTTCAAATATGTTTATCTTTTTTCCTGAAAAAGTGTTTTTGTGGTTAGTTTTTCCTCATTATTTTAATATGAAGAAAACGTCAGCCGAAAATCACCATATTTTGCGAAAATCTAAACGTAAAAAATCACATATGGAACCATAGTTCAGCGAATCAAGATACTGCGGCTCCGCTGGCTAGCTCATGTTATCCGGATAGATGAGAGCACTCCAGTCTGAAGTCCAGTCTGAAGTCCAGTCAGTTCAGTAATCGCCGGTGGAAACAGAGGAAGAGGAAGAAGAAAAATGCCGAAAAACGTCTGGAATTTTCGACTAGACACAAGGCAATAATTTTCAGGTCGTACCAGAACAGGGTATCAAAAACTGGTTTGATTAGATTTAAATTTATTAATTGGTCAATGATCAATTAGGCTAGTCAATTATTAACTTGCATATATACGATTACCATATGAAATATTAATCGAGTAATTGTTGCATTGTTAGCAGAGTCATCATAATTTTTATACTCTTGCAAGATGTTGTTACCAAGTATAATGGTTTTGTTTGCCTAACGGTTGTAGTTAAAACTAATCGAGCTAGATATAGGGTTTTATATAAATAAATGATCAAATTATTAAATTTTACACCCAAGATGGTATAAGAAGGCTTTATAGGAGCCGGTGTAAAAATTAGACAAAGGACGTAGCTCCGCCTAAATTTAGGTTAAACCACATATTTCCAAAACCATTTGACCAATTTCAACCAAATTTGGAACCTAACACATTCCTTTGTTAAAACGCAAAAATAGGCGAAATCGGAGTACAACCACGCCTACTTCCTATTTAATAACCCTTTGAATTCCATCTGGTTCTTTCACTTTTCAGTATACAAATCAAGTACTAATGAATATATCGGTATAAAACTTCGTACAATAGTGTCATTAAAATATGCATATGCTTACCCTAGTTCCATATAACTATTTGTATGTGAGGTACCTTTGTGAAATTTAGAGAGCATCTTTTTCTGTTAAAAATGTGTAGTATTGCCAAAATGCCATACAATTTCCAAATTTCCGGGTATGTAAGATATCTTAGCAATATTAACTGAACGTATAAGTCGTTTAGTTAAGTTTAATGTCGAAAATACATGTATGAACTTAGTCTACGTCTTTAGTCCAACTCCCATATAATACGTAAAATGATTTTGTTATGGCGAATATGTCGGTCAGTGTGTCAGTTATATATTTATAAAATTGTTTTAAAATATGTTCTATGTGAAAAGTTTCAGCAATTAGTCCATCCAATTTTCTGCCTCCAATATACACTATATAGTGACTTTCAACTTTTCACCTGACTTTAAACCTTTAAATGAGTAATATTTTTAAAAGGTTAAGTGGAGTAGTTTTCTTGAAAAGTATGTGGTTTAGCGCTAAATATGAATGAAATTCGTCTAGACCTTGGCTCAAACCTAATATCCCTGACATAATGAATTCAGATCCTGTGGTTGATGTTTTCCACATCAGCTCTATGTATTAAATTTTGCCTCTTCGGTTGAATTTATCTCAGATATATCTCTTTTGAGGAGGATTTTAATACAATAGTAAGTAAAATATAGTAATAAAACTAAGTGAACATCACGATGATATTCGTCGAATAATAAATGTTGAATTCTTTTGCAAATTTTTTTAATATAATATAAAGTTTTACCAACACCTGAAGTATTTCACCGTCTTTGATCCTTGCAAGAACCAGGAGTATAAAATGTTCGGTTACATCCGAACTTAGTCCTTCATTACTTGTTGAAAATGGTATTAAGTATTACACAATTTTTAGGTGCATTTTTGCTGACACCTCTACATGAATTATCAATGGAACGAGCTGCAGTTATATGCGAGAAAATGAATTTCAAGGGATGTTTTAGTCTAACGAAAACTGCTACGGGAATTCTTTTCAAGTTTTCACACCCAGACGATTATCAAGCCGTTTATAAAAAGGGATTCCACAAAATAACGGGAGCGAGATTTTATCGAAAGGTAAGTTCTTATTCAATATAAATAATAGTGATGAACGCATTTTGTCTAGTCACCGGTGCATCAACTTTTCCAGCCACTAAATTGTTTCTCCCGTAAAGCACCTTTTAAATATTTTTTTACATCACCTAGCTAAAAACTTTTCGGTTTTTCTGCACAATATTATTGAATAGGTACTGTTATTTAATTTTTATCATAAAAGGAAGAGGAAGCCATTTTTCCGAAATACGCAGACAAGACCTCGTTCACACCCGGCCAAAACAAAACCAAGAGTCTGATTCGGCTGAAATTTTGACAGTGGTCGTCTCAATGATCAATTTAGTAAATTTCTCTTGCGGTGGGGAGGCTGAGTTATTATGGGCACATAATCGTGTCCAAGATCTATACCAATTCGATTCATATTCAACGCTTAACGACATTATTTTTAAGAAATTTTCTTAGTTTCATTAAAATATCACAGACACATTTTAGGAACTAAGCTGTAGTATATCCAGTATTATAAGTTCATCTAATTTTGCTAAGACACCTTACTTATTAACCGATATACCTATACGCCATAAATTCGACAATAAGTTTCAAATTCGTATATTAGGTATATGGGGGCTAGGGAAATAGACACTCACTTAATTTCTTTAAGATATCTTACGCATTGACGGGTATATGAGGTATAAAATCAAAAGCAAGTTCTAAAATCTTTGTATTAGATATATGGGGGCTAGGGGAATTATTGAATCGATTATATCCATTTTTGGTATCCATAAAAATATGCTCTGACTTTCAATAAGGTACCGCACAGGTTGCCCAATATCTTCGGTACCTTAGGACTTGAAAAGTTTCGGTCCGATTTCGAAAATTTTTGGACGTAAAATATGCGATCATTTTAAATACATTCCGAGTGCAAAGTTTTATTTCGACGTTATCGAATTGGCTCTAGATTTCAAAACTGTAAAGTGAAAGAAGAAAATGAAATTTGAAATTGTGATACATGGGAAGTAGGCGTGGTTGTATCTCGATTTCGAAAATCTTAATAAGATAACATTAAAAAGTTGTTGGGCACAAAATTTGGTTGAAATTGGTTAAGTAGTTCCCGCGATATAGGGTTTTACCCAAAGGTTGGCAGTGCCACTTCCGTTATTAGTACTATAGTTATCATCTGATTTCACCTAGATACAAGTATGTACTAAATTACAGTTGTGTATCTTAATGCGTTGCTTAGTTATGACACTTTATAGGTTTTCGGTCAATGGCAATTTGGGGCGTCAGCTCAATTATCATCAATATATTTACATTTTTTTAGGTTATCGCACAGACGAACGGACGGATAGCAGGGTTTCAACTCGTCTCGTCATCCTAATCATTTATATGTAATTATACTTGTATATCTCTACATCTATCCCGATTAGTTTTAAGTGATACAAACAATTGTTGGGTGAAAAATACTATTATACTCTTTATTGTAAGATGTTAGAAGAGTATAAAAAATGTTAAAAATGTTGTGTTTAAATTCCATATTATACTCTTTGTTGTTACAATGTGCGAGAGTATAAAAAATGTTATGTTTAACTTCCGACTTCCGAATTGTGAATAATTCATATTTAACATCATGTAAACTTATGTAATAGGTCAGAGCATCACTTAGCAGCATTACTACACTTTGTGTTATTTCCTATATTTACCATACACTAAAATCAACTTATCTAGCAAAAAGCCACATATTTATCATACTAGTACTGGGCGAAAGTATACTGTATACCCATATCACCAATTTTAATACTTACTCATTACATTAGACATATGAAGCCTAGTCTAAGGTTCAAGCCTGAAATTAAACTACATAAATACATTGTGGTAAAAATAGTACCTTAACTTAATTATTTTAAAATATGGAACTCATTGACTAATATAAACAGTTAAAAGTCAACCGGAAAGTCGAAAATGATTATATTAGATACTTATATATTGGAGTTGGGTATGATAAGGTCCGATTTCTTTTACCTTTGGCATTAAGCTAAAATAGACTTGAGAACATATTTTCACGCAATTTTATTCAGAAGGTGAGGTAAGTCAATGGCTAATATATTCGACACAAAGACCACAAAAATGGTAGAGCATAGATACCTTTCCTTATTATGATGTACTGCACCATATTTAAGGTGGCTTTTATTTTCAATGCCCTACCAACCTCCTCAGAGTGTTAAGGAATAGGTGTATCAATCATGCTTCATCAAAATATCTAAATTTTTACTCAAAATATCGCTCTTACTAACAGACCGGTATCTGCCATAGTGTAAAATTCAGTAATACAAACGCCCGTCCCGCAAAAAAGTCATTTATAAACAAGTAAGGAAGGGCTAAGTTCGGATGTAACCGAACATTTTATACTCTCGCAAAGTCAAATGGTATACTCGTTTGAGATTTCTTTGTGGATTGACTGATATTTTCGGTAGAAGGTCAACTCTAGGCACTGGGGTCCACATATTTAGTACTTAGGGGTTTGAACAGTTTTGGTTCGATTTAGACAATTTTTGGCCGCAAGGTGGCATACTTTAATTACATTAATCACGCAAAGTTTTACCCCGATATAATCATTGTTACCTGATTTGCATAGTGGAAAGTGAAAGAATCAGATGGAATTGAAAATGGTGTTACATGGGAAGTAAGCGTGGTTGTAGTCCGATTTCGCCCATTTTCGCACTGTAACATAGAAACATGAAAAGAACGTTATGCACCAAATTTGGTTGAAATCGGTTGAGCAGATCTCAAGATATGGGTTTTCACCTAAAAGTGGGCTGTGCCACGCCCACTGACTAATTTTGAACGCGGCTCCTATAAAGCCAATTTATACCATCTCAGAGATAAAATTTAATGTCTCTGGCGTGTTTAGTGCTTGATTTATCGCGCTTTTAGTAGTTTTTAACAGTACCGTTATATGGGGAGTGGGCGGAGTTGCCACCCGATTTCAACTATTTTCACACCGTCAATAGAAGTGCTAAAAACATTTGCTTTGAGTGAATTTTGTTATTATAGCATTAGCGGTTTAGGAGATATGCACATTAAACCTATTAGAGGCGGGACCACGCCCACTTAAAAAAAAAAAATTTAACTGCAGATGCCCCTCCCTAATGTGATCCTGTTAACCAAATAACAGTCTTGTATCTTATTGCGAAACTTAGTTATGGCAAGTTATTTGTTTTTGATTAATGGCGTTTTGTGGGCGTGGCAGTGGTCCGATTACGCCCATCTGCAATACCAACCGTCTCACGGTACCAAGAAACATATCTACCAAGTTTCATAAAGATATCTCAATTTTTACTCAAGTTAGAGCTTGCACGGACGGACGGACGGACGGACGGACAGACAGTCACCCGGATTTCAACTCGTCTCTTCATCCTGATCATTTATATATATATAACCCTATATCTAACTCGATTAGTTTTAGGTGATACAAACAACCGTTAGGTGAACAAAACTATTATACTCTGTAGCAACAGGTTGCGAGAGTATAAAAAAAAAAAAACCAGAAACATTTTACTACTAAAATCACTCAGTAGGGTTGCGAGCGGACCGGTGATTAAATTATCTAATAGTTCACTATTAGGTGAACTTTCGTACCTCAGCAACTGCTTGACCAATTTGAACATTTTGGTGTTTGGTATGTATTTTGTTATGTTATGGTTTGAAAATGGGAGATATTGGTCTACAACTACGTTACTTCCCATACAACACAATATCAAATCTGCAACTTTACAATTTATAAATCAAACTCTAACAAGTAAGGAAGGGCTAAGTTCGGATGTAACCGAACATTTTATACTCTCGCAAAGTCAAATGGTATACTCGTTTGAGATTTCTTTGTGGATTGACTGATATTTTCGGTAGAAGGTCAACTATAGGCACTGGGGTCCACATATTTAGTACTTAGGGGCTTAAACAGTTTTGGTTCGATTTAGACAATTTTTGGCCACAAGGTGGCATACTTTAATCGCATTATTCACGCAAAGTTTTAACCCGACACAGTCATTGTTGCCTGATTTGCATAGTGGAAAGTGAAAGAATCAAGTGGTATTTAAAATGGTGTCATATGGAAAAAAGGCGTGGTTGTAATCCGATTTCGCCCATTTTCGCACTATGACATAGAAACATGAAAAGAACGTTACGCACCGAATTTGGTTGAAATCGGTTAAGCAGATCTCAAGATATGGGTTTTCACCTAAAAGTGGGCTGTGCCACGCCCACTGTCTAATTTTGAACGCGGTTCCTATAAAGTCATCTTATACCATCTCAGAGATAAAATTTAATGTCTCTGGCGTGTTTAGTGCTTGATTTATCGCGCTTTTAGTAGTTTTTAACAGTACCGTTATATGGGGAGTGGGCGGAGTTGCCACCCGATTTCAACTATTTTCACACCGTCAATAGAAGTGCTAAAAACATTTGCTTTGAGTGAATTTTGTTATTATAGCATTAGCGGTTTAGGAGATATGCACATTAAACCTATTAGAGGCGGGACCACGCCCACTTAAAAAAAAAAAATTTAACTGCAGATGCCCCTCCCTAATGTGATCCTGTGTATCAAATAACAGTCTTGTATCTTATTGCGGAGCTTAGTTATGGCAAGTTATTTGTTTTTGATTAATGCGTTTTGTGGGCGTGGCAGTGGTCCGATTACGCCCATCTGCAATACCAACCGTCTCACGGTACCATAAAACATGTCTACCAAGTTTCATAAAGATATCTCAATTTTTACTCAAGTTAGAGCTTGCACGGACGGACGGACAGACAGTCACCCGGATTTCAACTCGTCTCTTCATCCTGATCATTTATATATATATAACCCTATATCTAACTCGATTAATTTTAGGTGATACAAACAACCGTTAGGTGAACAAAACTATTATACTCTGTAGCAACAGGTTGCGAGAGTATAATAAAGATATCGAAACAAAACTTTGCATACCTACTATTTTTAAGGTGTGGTCCTCTTCACCAAAAATTGGTCGAAATAA